TGCGCTTTTTTTTTTTTGCAATTTTTAAGACAACAAACTTTTAAACTTTAAACCTAATTAATTTAGGCAAAACTTTTAACTTTATGCTTGCTTTTATATTATTCTTATCACGCTCGAACTTGTTGAAAAACTATCTGTTTATAATATTTTATTGATCGAACAAGTCTTTTGTAATGTCTTATTGTGCTTTATATAATTGTTTATATATATGTTACTGTACTTGCAATTTCGAGAATAAATAAAGTTTTTGATTATTATTATTATTATTATTATTATTATTATTATTATTATTATTTATTTAGGCACACAATACATGTGTGATTGATTGATTACAAAATTTCGTTCCCAGTTTATGAAAACAGGTGTTAGTGGTATTCCAACCAGCAACCGCTCGCTATGGTGGCGATATTTTGCCGTTAGATACTCCTATTGAACGCTGTAATTATTTTATTTTGTTTATATTCATTGATACACATCTTATATTGTATTCACTAGAAACCTCTATGACTAATGTCCTTATTTTGTTAAAGAAGTGTGTTTGAATAATTGTGTTTTATCAACTGTGTGTCCTCAAATGAACTTTCTAATTATAATTATTTCCCATTCTTCTACTTTTTTTTTCTTACACAATTGTTCTACAATAAAGAAAATAGTAATATGCAAAATACACTGTATAATATTTCTTTCATTGCAAAAGGATTTATGAATTGTTTAGTTCTCAGTGTGTGAGCTTGAGTTCAACTGGCTAATATATTTCAAACGTCAAGAAGGCCAGCGTAGACATAAGCGATCGATGTACGCATGTGTAGGTGTTCGCTAAGTTACCGTACCATAATGCGACTCGACACCGCCACGCTTGCACGCTGTTCAGCCAGAATCCTGTTGGATTCACTCACGCCAATTTTTGTAGTGGAACTTATTTAATATTAGGGCTACAATGAAATGGTCAACCTGCCGTTTAGTTTTCTTATTTCTAGCTATTGTCAAAACATCAGCGTCAACATTTGACTATGATTCGATAGGATATAATGCAACAAAAACAGAAGACTTTGAGTATTTCCAGGATAACATCACTACTACCGAATCTCCTCGGCTACCGATAACAAATTCTAGTAATACTGTTACAAGTGATGATACTGATAAACGCCAAAACAATAATCAAGTACATATAGACGTTGTTTCTAAGTTTCTCCAGCGTATGGAAGATATAGAGAGAAATGTTGCCAACTGCGAGAAGGGTACAGACGTTACGCTGGACCGGGGAGCGGTCACCTACGGACCGAAAATGTTCCGTCGTCATGCAATGGTTGCAGTACATAGAGCTAACCTTCTAACGCGAATATGGAAAAACAGTAGTATATATAGCCAACTGGAAAATAATGAGTTGTTCTTTTATTCGCTTGTGGTATCTGTAGTTGAAAACAATCCGGATATTTTTGCGTTTGGGAATTGCCACGACAGAAGTCAATTCGGAAATTACACTGCGTTCTGCCCGTTCGCGTATCGCCAATCTAACGGAATGATTTTAGTGAAAGATTTATCAGTGTCATACCACTATCTAACAAATCAATCGGAGTTTTTTTGGGAAGCTCGTCAAAAAGCAGAAGAACTGTTAAAAACGAGGAAACCAATGAAAGGTAAGGATGTTTTATGGTCAAGTTTATCTGGTTAAACCAACAAATTATAATTTACGATAAATGCAAATAAAACTCAGCTTTACGGTTGAAGAACTAGGATTTCGAGATGCACAGTTTTGAGATTTGAGGGCTCCGGTCCTAGATAAGAATTGAAAAGGGAATTCCCCGTGATGCATTCCGGGGATATGCGAGCTCCCTGTATTTAATTTTAATTATTAATTATATTTTATTGAAGTTTTATTTCATTGTAATCCAGCAACGAGGTGTCTCGTCAATGACAGGTTGCAAATGATGCTCTTTAAACCAAGTCTTTTCGTGGGGCTTTTTAGAAGATTGAGTTATGATTTTTAAAAAAAGAAAAAAATCATTCTTTCTCAGAATTTGAACCCAAGACCCTGAGATTGGATGGCGAACACTTTAACCACCAACCAATATGCAATACCGTAACTCTTATTGACATTATCAATTTACAATCATGATACAGTCAAAATACAGCTCCAGCATTGTGGCTCCTGAAACTTGCCGACGGGGGTTTCATCGCGTCCGACAGTTTTACGTTGCAGTGGTGGCGAAACGGGTAGGAGGGGCATTTGCCTTCCCGTCGGAGAGGCCTGGATCTCCTGTCGTCCTACACCACGACGATGTCGTCGGATAAAAAAAAAAATATTGCCATCCAAATGAAGTTATTTTTATTGCCAATCCCTAATATTGTGGTCAAGAAGCACAATTTGGACCACTAAGGTCTAAAAACTTTCCCGTGAACCCTACCAGAGATTTTTTTTAAATTCCTGGACCAGGATTGAGACTCTAGTCGCTTCTTGATTCGGACCCCGGACATGTTGAACCCCTTGTCGGCAGCTTTCTGGAGCCACCGCTGTTACGTTGCTGAAAAAATAGATCTATTTAGAAACTGTATCCATATAAATTTATAAAATACATAGCTTACGAAGTAGGAGCTTATATGTCTATAT